ATGATAAGGAAAAATGAACCTCATAATGGTGCTTGTTCCTATACTGACTACTCTCTCTATTATTGTATCTACTAATGAGAATACAATCAAAGGTAAATCATTTGTCATAATTACATTTAATTAATATTTTACAAAGGGCCATCATCTGTGTCAACAAACAAACGATACATTAATGAAACTAATGTGAAGGAGGTTTATCTACAGATATTACGAGGTAGAGATGGTCGTGATGGACTAACAGGAAGAGATGGAGTGAAAGGAGAGAGAGGAGATAAGGGAGAAAGAGGAGAAAAAGGTGAAACTGGACCTATAGGAAAAACTTGTACTAAGTGTGGTGGTGTAGTGTACACTCGTTGGGGAAGGAAGTCCTGTCCTACTGGAGCTGAACTGCTGTATGAGGGAATAACTGGAGGTAGTTACTATGATCATCCTGGAGGTGGTGCCAACTATGTCTGTTTACCAAAGGTTCCTCAATATATGAGCACTACTTATAAGCATACTAATTTAGCTAATTACATGTATGGTACTGAATATGAATGGACTAATGGTATATTTCCAGGAACAGATCAGCACAACGTTCCTTGTGCAGTATGTTATACATCTACTAAGAGTGTTAAACTGATGATTCCTGCTAGAACCAGCTGTCCTTCATCATGGACTATGGAATATAAAGGATATCTGATGGCTGAAAGAAGCTCTCACCATGCAAAATCTGTCTACGAGTGTGTTGATGAAAGTGCTGAATCCATAAATGGCAGTCAAGCTAATGTTAATGGCGCTACAATTTTCTTTACTTTGTCAACCTGTAACGGTCTACCCTGTCCTCCATATGTGAACAATGTGCCAATTACTTGTGTAGTGTGTACCAAGTGACACTAAAAATACTGCATAATTTGTTTTTCTGATTTTCTAATAAAATAATTTGCTGTTCACACATGAATACACACGTGTGTAAGTCCAAAGAGGTCAATATTGTGTTCTTATGCAAGCTATGCTGAAATTTTGAGTGGATTGCATGGGCTCTAAATTGCAAGATGATCCGTCATTTGATACATAATGATATTGAAAATGTAATGCAACATAAGAACATATATATGCTATGCATCAGAAAAATTACAAAAACGAAAAATTCTCTCCTAGTCATTTTTGGCAAAAACCCTGTAATTATGTAAGCTTATTATATAGTACAGGAATTTTTGAGTAACTTTTAAAATTGGTAAAAAATCTAAACTTGACACATAACATAAGAACATGTCTACTCTATGCATCAAATAAAATAAGTCCTGCCTACCAGTTGACTAACGTATTATTAGCTTCATGTAGGCAAGGAATTTTTTTACAATTTTAAATTAATGATAATTCTATTTATAAAAATATAGATCTACATCCCAGTCATCGTGTGTGTGTGTGTGTGTGTGGGTGTGTGTATAGTAATGTGGATGAGTGCTGGTGTAGGAGGATAATAATTGATTCCTGCTAATAATAGTAAATACAGACTGGGTGGAATTTCTTAGTGAGTAAGGCAGAGTTGAGTAAGGACAAATGGAGCAGGGAGACATGCATAGATTTTTTATTCAAACTCATCTATAATTTAAGACGCCTCCGTTTGTGTATTATAACATATACAAGCATATAAAGAAAAGAGGTGTTCTCTTAATCTCTTTGCTCTTTATCACTATTATGACATCTTATATGATTGTGAGTAACTGATCTAACTAACTCAATTTTCGCCAACCATAATTATGTGCAGCTATAAAATATCATATTTTTACATGGCACCAGCTGTAGTAGAGCAATTTAAGCTGAAGTGTAATGTATAATTTACTAATATGCCCATAAATATTGAATATTATTTATTCTCTTGGGGATTTAAACATTAATTTTTACAAATTTTGTGCAGCAAATTATTTATCACTTTTTCACCATTTGCAGGAAATCACAAAATTAAATTTTCACGAAAAAGTTTTTTGCTCAAAAAATAAAGTAGGATCTACTGTCACATCAATCGTACACTATGTTTCAGCTTAAATACTGTTGGCATGCATCAAGAGTAGACTTTATCATGTAAAGTACAGTACTTTACATGATTAAGTACACGATATTCTATAACTGTATAAAATTATGTTTGTCGGAAATTTTAAGCCATGGGCTTAGATCAGTTACTGACAATCATATAAAATGTCATACCCATATCCTATTTAGCCAAAATAGTGATAAAGAGCAAAGGATTAAGAGAACACCTCTTTTTTCTAAGCGCCAGTATACGTTATAATACACAAATGGAGGTGTATTTCACTGCATGAGTAAAAGAAGCACTTGTGAGATAAGATGGCTACAGCTATAAAAGAAATGCATCTGTCAGTGTAAGTTAGTCAGTCAATCGTCTTGCTGCTCCTTGCTGATATAATGCATTTCTTGGCTATATTTGTACTCCTGGCAACTGCTGCTTTCAGTGCAGTTACATCCAATGAAGGTAGGCACAATAAATATCATTGAATTTTTTATGATGGTGTATATTCTGCTGTAGAGTCACCTTCACTGGTTACTGAAGAGAAAGTTAATGGCACTCTTGTCAGATTAGTATATCTTCAGATTTTACGTGGTAGAGATGGTCGTGATGGAGTACCAGGAAGAGATGGGGTGAAAGGAGAGAGAGGAGATAAGGGAGAGAAAGGAGAGAAAGGTGAAACTGGACCAGTTGGACCACCTGGTCCTAAGTGTGGAGGAGTAGTGTACACTCGTTGGGGAAGGAAGTCCTGCCCTACTGGAGCTGAACTGCTGTATGAGGGAATAACTGGAGGAGAAAGATATACTAGTCCTGGAGGTGGTGCCAACTATGTCTGCTTGCACAAGGATCCTCAATACTTAAGTTCTCATTCTCCAGCTAATTATGGTAGTTTCATGTATGGTACTGAATATGAATGGGTTCATGGTACCTTTACTGGAAAAAATAACCACGATGTCCCTTGTGCAGTATGCTATACATCTACTAAGAGTGTAAACTGATGATCC